ACGTTTTACTAATTCTGAATTCTCTTGTATCTTGTCACCTACATTTTGAGAGTCATACTTTTATTTTTGTGTCAATTAATATATTTAAAACAATAATAATTAGTGATGTTGATTAAACTATAAATTCACACATACAGGATTATTTACCCAAATTTTAATATATTTATTATTACGGTACTTGAAAGACATATTATTTTTGTTGAATGAAGCACTTTATCATTACTTTTCTAAAGAATAAACTAAATTGTAATTCATCAAAAAAATAAAGCATGGTGTTTTCTATTAACGACTAAATAAATACTGTTTTCAAATTGTAGTTGTATGCCATATTTATCGACATCTTATGATCACCTAAAAAATCATCACGTTGTTTTCAATATCAAGTTGCCCATTCTTGAGCGTGCAAAATTGTTCGATCTAATTTTCAATAGACTTTGTCGCTGATATGAAAACTCTCAAATAATTTTGAGTTTGATCTCTTGGGGTAAATTGTATAGAGTGACGTGTACTTTTCTTACTCCAGAACTTCGTAAACTTTATGTATATTTTATAAAATGCTAATTCAAACCACAAAAAAATGCCACTAGCTTAGGCAGTTGATAAATGTCTGCTCTAGTTTAACTTTCGCATACGGCAACTGTCTTAGAAGTATTAAAGCAATAAATAAGAAAAAAGTGTTGAAAACTTTCAGAGCCTCTAATATCACTCGCACACCGCGCGCTTTTATAAATCCTAAAATTGCACATAAAAGAACTTTAATCAAAAAACTTCGTAATATGAAATAAAGCAGATGCTGTCTGAATTCAAATGCAGTGTTTAGATATTATTGAAAAATTATAATGAAAAAATATGATTTATAAATTCGATAATATTGATTTCTAGCATCGATAAAATCTTTGAGAAGAAAATGTATTCTCTGCTCGCCTAGATACATTTAAACGGGCGACAACGTATTGTTGTCGTTCATTCAGGCGAGTTACAAACGCGGCGAGAATTTATAGAATGTATACATATTACATATATATTAGTAGAATTTTTGTATTGTGTTTCGAATGAATAATAATTATATAACTTAGAAACTCATTACACTTTTTAATTTTGCACTAACTTTACTTTATAAAATTATATGAACGGTTTCAAGCTTTGTGAAAAAAGTTTATTATGTTACCATTTATAATTAATTATGCATATTTTCTAATCGTTTATGTATAAAATGTGTTTATAGTTTTTATTTCTTAATTTTAATTTTGCACTAATGATGACACAAATTATGTTCTCAAAACAAATGCAACTTATAACTTTATGAAGTTAAATACATATAATGTCCTCAGTAGAAATGAATCGTGACGCAATATTGGTTTAATGTTGGCCCTATTATAGCTTATCAATATTGCCCCAAAATTACTTCACTATTTTTATAATAATAATTATTATTATATATATATATATATATATATATATACCTTTTCTGTTTATTAATAATCATGATTAAACTCAAAGCCGAATTTTTTCTTCATAATTTTAGTATTTATTTAAAAAAAATACATATTACGAACAGAGATACCATTAAAATAGTAAAAATTAAATAATTGTTCAAAAAGTAATCAAAAATGGTTCAAAAACTTTTGAAAGATAGACAATGTTTGAAAATCCATAACAAAAGTAATTCATTCATTGTTTGTATTTTGGTTCTGAGCACTGTTGTTTAGTTTACGAGACTTCATTATAAGTTTCAATTATACGTTATCTTATTGTTTTATAATATATATTGCTATTTTTAAGTTAGAATTAACTATTTTTTTATATAACCTTTTTAAGCTTATACGTGGATGGGTTAAGTTAAAAGGACCAACTGAACCCTTACCTTAGCAAAGTTTAAACACTTAAAAAATAATAAATAAGAAAGCAAATTAAGTTCAATATAGCATTATTACAAAAGATAATTTTGTTTGTATTCGGTCTTGCTTACTATGAGAATTTAGCCACCTACAAAATTTTATTTATTTACATTCTAATTTTTATATCATTTTCAATCTATATAATCTATATCCTATTCTATATTCTACTCAATTTTCTTCAACTTTTTTCAATTATTTTTTTTCAATTCGACTTTTCATTTTCTTTTTTCAATTTTTGCTCTTATTTCGAATTTCTAATTCTATTCAATTTTTCATTTTATTCTTCATCCTTCTTTTTAATATTAGCGAATTCCAATATTTTTTCTTTTTACTCCTAATACAATTCAGCTATTCGAATTCGAATTCGAATTTGTATTTCTACTCCTAATTTTTTATCTAAATTCTACTTAACAAATCTAGTTTCAATTACTTTTGAATTAACTACATATATATTTCTTTCTTAATTCTAAGTCAATGAGAGAATTCGATCCAAAGACTCTTGTCGTGTGAGTCGTACACGCTACTAAGTGAGCTATGCTTGCCACAATAAATTAAATTAATAGCTATTCCAACTCTGATGATTAATATTTGTGAGAAAATACCAGATCAAGGTTATATACAATGTTATCTCTGTAAAAATGTACCCACAAAATTTATATTTTGCATTGGTTGAAGAATGTAGATTTCTTTCGTAGAATCTCTTTAAATTTAAAATAAGTATTGGGTCTATTTGGTTCTATTTGCCTCCAGGCTGTCTCATTTTACAAAAGGGACACATCACAAATCTTCGAAAAATAGTAATAAAACACATTTCTTTAATAAGAAATTAACTGAAAAATGATTAATAAATTTATTAATTGTGATTTACAAGTTCATTAACTCAATCTTTTTTTTCTTTTCAGGTGCTCTCTGTGTTCTGATCGTTGCATAGGAAAATTTGGTAAGTTAATTATTTTAGATTACTTGATCAATAATTAAATATTATGTATTGGACATGTTTGGAGATTTAACATCAGTAATCTTATAGGTGTGCTATATTTAATTTTGTTTTAAAAACATCGAACCTGTATCTTGTCGTTTTGTTGCAATTTCTTGCATTCGAGTCCAACCCATGGAAACCGCATGCCTTCACAGCCTAGTTTGTAATTTTCTAAGCAATTCCAAACGAGCGATTGTCGGGAAAGACGGAATAAGTGCAGTCTGGCAACAATTCGTGACATCGGCATAAAACCGATAACATAGTGCTTAAGACGCGATTGCGAAAAGAACGTTTTATTTTTCATATTATCATCGATAGAAATTTGCTGCTTTTACTTTCATGCCCGCTGTGAGCGACAATCTGAAATGCACTGTTACTTCGATTGCTTTGCCATATAATCGGTATAACTATGCGAACGAAATTTATTTTATCTCTATTTTGATTCTATATGTTTATTTGCTGCAATATTAAATTTCATAAAATAAAATAAAATAAAGACTAGTTAAAAATTGATTGGCCAATTCTCGGATAAAATTGTAATGTTATGGTAATGCTATGTTACGGGTCTATATTCGTGTGACTTGGTAGTAACGAACTGTCAACAAGCTATGTATTTGCTATGCATTTAGACGCATAAAACCTAACCTCCAAAACGCAAATTGCCAAGTGGCAATTTTATCATAAGTGCAACTTTCTGATATCTCATTTATAATACAAGTCAGTTTTTAGTCTAAAAGGTCTGATTGTGCTATAAATACAAAGCTTTTTTCTAACAGTTCGTCACTACCAACTAATTCGAATATAGACCCGTATCATAACATAACATTTCTATTTTATTCGAAAATTAGTACCTGAATTTAATTATGGTATTTTAACTCCTAGTTCATAATTCTTATGGCTTAGAGAATTCTGCTTGACTCGGATTGCCATTAATTAGATATTGAGCAAATGAATAGAGATGATCTGGCATCTTATTAATAATTAATTTGTTCATCTTATTAAAAAATTTGTGTCATTGAGATATATTTTTTACACTCTAAAATCAGATTTTGCGCATTATCTTCCACATGATCCTTATTGTTATTAATCATTCTTATTTTATAGAGTTCCTGTTATGAACTTTATAGATTCATTTTTCAGTTATATAAAATATTTGAAATTTGAAAAATATAATTTCTTGTATAGTCAATAGATAATTTGAATTACTCATTCATTTTTTAAATTTTTATGACTTACACACAATTATGATTTTCTTAATATCTACTCTGAATATTAACAAAGTTTTGTAAATTATAGAAACCTACACGTGTTAGAATAATTTATAAATTCTATTCATAAATCCTTAATGAATATACTTTGCTTTCATTTCGATGTATAAAATAAGATACAAAAGATTTGAATGGTCTTCGGCGAAACATAGAGTTGTAGTTTACAGGGTGAATTGCAATTTTTTATATTTATTGCTATTTTGAGCAAAGTTTCCAATTTGTTTCTAAGAGAGCAATGAATCAGTATATTTATAAATCTCGTAACAATAAATAATTTAGAACTATGTATTTTGAACGCTTTTTTAAAGTACAAAATGTTTTTCTAGAAGATTTGCAGTATCTATTTACATCTTAACTAGTGCAAACCAGCGAAGTTTTTCTTTATTATATTTCTCTAACTAAAAAATCTCAATAGATTATTATTCATGTTTCTTTGAACATAATAAATTTTTATTCCTTCCCCTGATTTTTTACCACAATATTTCCACCATCGTTTTGCATATGGGGACCATCCTTCGTTCATTCTCAAGTCACATGCTTTCATGACCTAAAAATTTATAATTTAGTTATTTTTTTAATTTATTTGTTTGTTTAATAAATGTGATTTTCAGTATGTTTTTTCTTAATATGGTAAAAAATTCTGCATAATTCTTTAGCAAAATGATGTGGCACATTGTGTTCAAAAAAAGTGTTTAATTTTCAATAAATACTATATTTTATTTCGATATATATATATATATTTATATATATGCATTATTTATAACTTTTAATAGTTTATAACTAGTGCCTTTAACACGTTGACTGCCACGCGTGTTTACAACAAAATCCCCGTCAGGCCACCCGTGCCACTGTAAGATGCGTGCTCTTACAAGAGATTGCGTTGAACTTCTACTGGGGACGTCAATTGTAAACGCTTTGGTCGTTTACAAAATTGCTACAAAGAAAACTGTAAATATTAGACGATTCAGGGAACTGATTGCTGCAAAGTTACTAGGACTGTGTGAAGATTTAACACTGCCTTCTGTTCGACGAAATACGCATTGCATCGCCGCTCGTAGAAATAATTTGGGGAAAAGCCTTAGACGCGCATGCAAGCGGTGTTACGCAAATAAAAGAGAAGAATTGGAACGATCAAAGGCACGAGCAAATCTCAGAAAACCCACTACTTTTTGTCCAAGCTGCCCTGGTCAACCGCAACTTTGCAGTGAATGCTTCAATATTTTGCACTGTAAATAATTTTGTTTATAAACGATTTTTAAAAAAATTCAACAGTATTATTATCTCTTGTAATATATTTATCTAAATATGTTTGGAAATTCTTTGGAAGGAGTCACCCGACGTGGCCTGATGAGAACTCTTGCTGTCACCCGAATACGGGTGACGTGGCCTGATGAGAACTTTTGCTGTCACCCGAATAAGGGTGACATGGCAGTTAACGTGTTAAAAGATTAAATTATCTAAGTTGTAATACTTTATATTTAATGCTAAAGAAGTAGATTCAGTGTCTAAATATGCACGTGAAATAGTCAAAAATATTTTTTTGACAATTGCAAATATTATTACTACTAATTAATATTTCTAACAATTACATAAGGTTTGTGTATTTATATGTAACGATGCGATTATACTGTGAACGAAATATCAATTACTTGCCAAGGCGAAGTTAAGGTGCGGTTGATAAATAGCAAACGTGTTTCTTTGTGTTATTTAAAGGCGTTTATTTAATATATCACCTTGTAATCTGATTATGCATAAACTGTGTCAATTTGATTCACACATTTCGATAGGACAACAATTAAATCATTATGGTATGAATAACAATATTGATTTATCTAATAACCATTTTAACGTGAATACAATTTAATAAGAAAACTCTACAATCATATTTTACAATTTTGTAACAAAGCTATGATGGGATTTTATATTAGATCCGACATCATTTAAAAATATTTTTTATAACCAATGCCAACTTTTTTTGACTATTTATACTCGATAGATTTGAGCTTTCAAACACGTACGAGCTTTTTTCTTTCATACTAGAAAGATATCAAAATATTTGATTTTTTTCACTAATTTAGTGTTTGGTGAATTTTTCAATGTTTTTTGATGTGACTGATAAAGTAGAGTAATAATATATTGTAGAAATAGATTTATTGAAGTCTCTGGATTTGATTAGGTTCAAAAAAAATGTCTTTAAAAGTAATATACCTACTTGCCGTACAAACTATTGTGAGATAAATGGATGATGATACTATGCATATTTAATATTTAATTAAGTTATTATTAAAGTATTTTAATTGACGCATACTTCTGAAAACAAATCATGATTATGACTGAGCTAAATTGTCTAACAATAAGCAAAAACTAATTGTTGGTAAATAGCTACTAATATTCAAATACAGCAAAATAACAGTACAAATTCGACCAATTTGCAAATCTGTATGATATTTAATTCATTAAATATTACTATTAAGTTGTAGATTCAATAAAATCAATCAAATGAATATTTAAATAATGTCATTTACGACAACAATAATTTGTAGCTCCATCATTTACGGGCTCTAAACAATATTGATAGAAAAATTTATCAACATAATTGATGTTCTAATAGGATTACAATTTTCTTCAATATCAGAAGTTACAAAGATTTTTTGTTGAGTATTGTTATTATATTTTTACCTCTTTTGAATATAATCGAAAATCAATTTATGTATTATAAAATCTAGGATCTGTTAAAATTGGTAAATTAACAAAAATATGACCGATCAAAAAATTGGCACAACCGTACCCAGCCTCTCCTATCTCTAATAGTGATGATTTTTAATTTGATGTAGCAATGCACTAAACGTGCTATTTTTACTTGAAAATATATTGCCATAGTGTCGAATATAATTAAAATATTTTTGTGCTGATTTGCAATTTGTTAGTCATAATCATTATTTGTTTTATAAGTGTGGGTGTGGGTACGGTTGTGACAAATTTTGTGGGTCTTTTGTTCCATCGTATGATTTTATGATAAAAATACAGAGTGTTTAAGGACAGTATTACAGTATTTCCACGTGGACAAATGTTCAAGTTACCATTTAATTAACTTTTCTTCCAGATAACTGGTAAATGAACAAAATTATGGCCGATCAAAAAAGTGGCACAACCGTACCCAGTTTCCCATAATAGAGTTTCTCTAATAGTGCTGATTTTACACAGAAACGTGCTTTTTGCTTAAAAAATATTGCCATGGTGTCGAATATAATTTAAAATTATTTTTTGTGCTAATTCGCATTTGTTAGTAAGTACAAGGAACAAAGTGGTACAAACCTATAAATATTTTTCCACATTGACTGAATACTAGATGCAGTACTACTAACTCTCGTATCAGTCTGTGCATCTATTTGAACTGCATTAGATATAAACTGAGGAATCCTTCGTCTATCTGTGAGCCACATTAAAAATACAGGTAGGTACATGTGTATTGTGTCCGGGATCACTTTACCGTCACACCCAATAAAGCCAACAGCTGCTGCGATGGCAAATGCTCCGGCGTTGCATGTGTGATGTTGCCCAGGAACACTTTAATTGAATCATAGCTCTTAAA